GACCTTAACAGAGATGAAGGTGTTCGTTTATCGCATGCATATGATAAACTTATCAACTTGTAATTATTCATATTCAAAAACAATTTCCAACTTTAAGCACAGTTAGTTATATGAACAATGTAATTTCTATTAATAAAAGACTCCAATACCAGCAATAGTTGTTTATTTAAACTTCAATTAATCTTTTTTAATTCATTTACTTTACTTCAATTATTTTACTTAATCAGCCTGTATGTTATTTTAAGAATTATATACCTCTTATTGTACCTGTTAAAATTTAATGTAATGTATCAATAAACCATTTATCTCTTGTGTGTTCTTAATAATAAGCATTAATGTATATATAGTTTGCCCACCACTCCTTCTCATTATGTGCCTGAGGACGACGGGGGAAACACGTCGAAACGTCGCTTAAAACTTTAACCAGTGATTGTTGTTCCATAAAGCTGTGTCTATATATCGTACTCACAATTGCTAAATGCCATTTAAAGATTTTTGTTCGTTGTAGAGTGTTCGTCGTATATTGAAGCAGTCAAACAGTCTCTCCCAGCATAACATGTGAACATGTGAACGACCTCTGCATAAAACAATGACGACTAGGATGTATACACTAGGGTTTTTTTTAATCCTAACCCCTGATTTCATCTCACATCCTAGCTGCTATTTCCAATAATTGAGAAAGGGGCAAAGGGCATGTTCAGAGTTTTTAGTCGATTTGCCGTTGCTTTCTGTTATGATATCAAAATGGCATTTGACAAATCTGGAGACTCCCAGACTAAAGAGAAATCATTCCTTAATCAAGACCTAAAAACAATGGTTTTTCAAGTTCAAACCTCTAGTGTACTACACTGAGCACGATTCATTCCTTATCAATGACTTATGTGTAAGGGCGTTAGGACTATATATATATTTTTAAATATTGCCCCATTTGTCCAGAGATATCGCTTGTGCATAGCTGGCTCCTTACATCAATCAAAGCCACAATAAATCTAAATAAAACTCCATCCGTTCTTATTAGTTAAAGATAAATTGAATTAGATCCAAAGATAAACTAGAGCCACTCGTGGCACAGAGTGGGACTTTGCAAATGTAGCAAATTGCAGAAGACCCCGAAAAAATCAACCTTCGCCGATAATTAGATCAAGCGCAAGAACAGTCTAAAGTTGAGAAATTTTCATTTTCTAGAAGATTCTAATACCGGAAGTAGACGTCGGACCTCACAAATGAAAGTATCAGCAGATAGCCAAGGTCAATGACCTTTGATCTTGTAAAAGAGAAGGTCGAAAAAGGTCAAGATCAAGAGATATACGTCATCAAAATTTCTAATTGCACACGACTATAAAACCGGAAGTTGACATAGGACAGCAAATATGAAAGTACAAATAGATAGCCAATGCCAATGACGTTTGATCCTGCAAAGGTCAAGGTCAACAAAGGTCAAAAATTGAAAATTTTCAATTTCCAAAACCTGTTCCTTTTTTTGAACTAAGAAACGGAAACAACCGAAATTCTAAGACAAAGTGGCTCACAATATGACGTAATTGTATGCAAAGTTCCATTTTGAACAAATGTATACTTTGCGAGTTATGCCC